GACAGCGCATCCCTTTAACCCTGGCCTCACTGCTTTATGGGCTAACCCGGTCTCGCTCTTCTATGGGCCTGGTCGCCAAAGCGGCGACCAAGCCCATAGAAGAGAAAAGAAGCCTGGGCTAAAGGGATGCACTGTCCCTTTAACCCCGTCCTCGCTCTTCTATGGGCTTGGTCATGGAAGCCTCCCTCCAGGATACGTGTTCATACATACGGCAAAGCTGCATCATTCCGGCATTATTCAGGCTGCGCAATTGTAATTCCTCAAGATGCCCAGAATTCAAAAGAATTGAAATGATGCCGGAAGGATGCAGGGATGATGCAGGGAAGGGCGGGGCTATGTGCGACGTCGTGTGAACACACGGAAAAAAGAACCAGAAGGGTGCAGGAATGATGCAGCATTCTTTCCGCTTTAGGGCCAGTGTGATAACGTCCCTTATGAATGAGAGAGCTCCAAGATCATCAACTGCCCTGCTCAGGTCTTACAAACTCAGGGCCGCAGCTTTTTTCTTCGAATCAATTCTCCTTTAAAGTCATCTTCCTTTTTACTTACTGCCTTCTACTTTACCAAACATTTTTGTCTTTTTTCAGTGAGTCACATCATATTATGATATTCTAAAGTATGACAGCCTCAGTTTAGTCTTCTTTGTTACTAGTGAGATTTCAGACTTGATTTGCTCTGAGACCTATTCATTTCTTTTTAGCAGTCACTGGAATCCGTAGAACATTTATCTGGCAACACATTTCAAATGAGCTGATTTTCTTCCTCTCAGATTTCTTCACTATCCAGCTTTCACAACCATACATAGAAATCAAAAACATTATATTCTTGCCAGTAGTTTTCTGGGTCCAATTCAGGCTGATGTTTTTAACCTTAAAAACCATAAACTGTTTGGAGCCTGGCTGTCTAAGGGATCACCTATCTTGTAAGCCTATCTGGATGTTAAGATATTTAATAGAGTCCCTCTTGACAATGCCTTTGCCTGAGGGACCTGCTTGTCATTGTTGCACCACAATTGTGTTCAACCCAATATCTCCTATATTATACCCAGATTGTGAAATGCAGAGTTCACAGAGTTGTTGTGAGTAGTTCAAATTCTTTAGGAACAATATGAAGATACATCTCCTCCAACAGACATCTTAAACTCTTTACTAAATACCAGTGTTATTGAATTCATTGATTAAATGATTTCACTGTGATGATTTGAATGGTTTTATTAACCAGTATGTTTTTATTGATATTAGATGCCTTGAGAGCTTTCCCCCCCCCCCCTTAATGGGAAGGTGGGGATTAAAAGTAGTAAGTCATTTAGGGCAAATCCACACTGATTAAAAAGACTAGAAAGTCACAGATTTTGTTCCTGTACATTCTAATTTTATTTCGTAGATTCTTGGGATTTGTTTATCCCTGAATCTTTTCTATCTGCTCCTGGTACGATTAGAGATTTTTTATACCAGCTCCCCAGGTTGGTTTATTTTAATGCAGTATAAAATTGGAGCAAAGGAGGAACAGGAACAAAATTCAGAACTTTCCCCATCCACACAGTTTGGATGCACCCTCACTGGTTGTGACCATTAAAGCCCTATAAAGCTCAGATCCAGGTAATCTGAAGGACCATATTCTTCCATATGAGCCTGTCCGTGTTTTGAGATCCTCTGTGGAGAGCCTTCTCTCTGTCCCATCACTCTGATAAGTACACCTGAAGGGAACACAGTAGAGGGCTTTCTCGGTGTCTGCTCTCAGGTTTTGGAACTCTTTCCCAACATTGGTTTGAATGATACCCTCCTTGCTATCTTGCCATAGCTTTAAAAAAAAATGGTAGGACTTTGAAGATAGCCTGAGGGGACTGAACCTTGCAGAACTGTGCTGCCCTATCTCTCTGTGTTTTTTTTTTAATTTTTTGTTTTTAACAGCTTTAAAAAAACTTGGTTTTAATTTGTGGCTAGTTCAATGGTATTTTTAACTTTGTATCTGGTTGTGTTTTTTGTTTGTTTGTTTGTTTTTTAGCTATGT